AAAGGTGGAGACGAGCCCGGGAAGTTGCCGGAGCAGGAAGAAGAGGAGGAATCCCAGGTTTTGCACGGAACCGGCCATTGCAAATGGTTCAATGTGAGAATGGGATTCGGGTTCATCTCCATGAGCAACCGAGAGGGAAGCCCCTTGGAGTCTCCAGTTGATGTCTTTGTACACCAAGTAAGACCCATTTTTGTCTTCCATCTCAGCCTGCCACATTTGGTTGAGCTCAGTGGGACTCCGGTTTCATGTGAAGAGAAGTAACCTATTTTTCCTAGGTATTTAGGTACATCTGTAATTAAAAAGTTGTCTTAGGTAGTGGTTTTGTTGGCAGCGTACAATTTGAGTAAATAAGGTTGTTAGATTGTGCATAGTCTCTGTGGCCGGAGATAAGTGCAAAGGGATAATGTTGTTTCTTCGTATCTTCCTCCTTGGTTAGAAACTTCTCCTGTGCTTTTTATTTATTTTCAAATGCCACGCTTTTCTTTTCAACAAGGTTTATCATTTGTCACCAGACTGATCGGGAGCAGATATGCCTTTCCTTGGAAACTGATTAAAATTAAGCTCGGAAAAGGATAAATAAATGTCGGTTTTCATTCAGATAACATTTGAATACAATTTTAAACACTTTTCTTGTGAACCTCGAATTGCTTTTTAAAAGCTCATCTGAGATTAGTTAGTGAAATTAAGACATAATTATAGTGTTATTTTGCAGTAATTCAGACCTGAGAGCGTCCCTATGGTGATACACTGAAGCGTGCATGTGGTTTGGTTGGTTGATTTTTAAATATTCCTTCCTAGAAAAAAAATGTAACGATTAAGGAATCAGACCAAAAGCAGCGTCTCTGTAAGGCTGTTTGGGAGAGAAGGGGCGTGTGGCCGTTGTTTTTATTTTTAAGCACAGCAGCGTGAACGGTGTTCACATTTTGAACGTGGAAGCTGGTATGAATGCCTTTACGCAAAGGAGTTTCAGATGCAAGATTCGTACAAAATGATAAAGTTAAGGGAACTTTTCCCAAGGTCTGTAGCGTGGTTTGTGAAGAAGGAGCATGTGTAGACCTTCCCTGGCCCTTCCGTTAGTCTCCAGTTGCAACAACGCTATTTTGAATTTCACCCGTCTTCTCTGTGATCAGAGAACAGAAGAGCGCTATCAGGTAAAGAGACCATTTTGGGTTTGGCTAGGGCCATGTTAGGAAGGGAAAAAGGCATCTTAACTTTTTACGTGGTTGTCCATTTTCTATGACGTTTGCAGTGACGGTGCAGGGGGGTGTTCCATGATTATATAGTGATTCCCTTTTAATGTTCCATCTGATGGCCCGGCCATATTTTGTGGTAACTTTCAGCAGGCTTTTTCAAAGAATACACCTCTCATTAGGCTAATGAAAAAGTGACTGAAACTTAGAAAGAGTGCTGCTGCTGTGGCATGTTGCCTTGCTCCGTGCGGTGGTGGAGTGGATTTCTCATCTTGCTGCTTTACGTACCCTATGCCTAAGGACCTGCACATCAGTATTAGCTGTTTGCATTTGGAATTATGTACGAAGTGTAGAATCCAATAGTGAACTTATTAAATTCTTACACTTCCTGCTTTGTACTGGCATATGAGGTGCCCCCCTCTTTGCTGCTGCTTTTTCTTTTTAGAACTGGATGAATGAAATACTTACCAAAGAAGGAGCAGTCTTTCTCCTGTTTTTCCCCCTTTCTTCCCTTCTTTGTACCTTTTTAAGTCGTGAAATTGCTCTTTACAGTTCTATAAATTTACTTTATAGATTTAAAATAACCCTTTTTCTTAATCTAATTTTGTGTTAATACATGTCATTCTTTTTGCTTCTCAAATAATAGAAGGCAAACATTTGAAGCATAGCAGTGTTGTTAATAAAAAAACGCATTTGGAAACAAAGATATTCTTAGAGCTCTGGAAATAGAGAAGTGTTGAACTGCATGATAACGTGATACATTTAAGTAATACTAGACAAGGTGTGCTGTTCTGTAATGGAAAGTAATTATGGAAAATAATAAAAAAGTATGTGGTAAATTTGGAAGTCGCTATTCAGTGTGTCCCCCTAAAGGAGGAGACAAGAAGGAAATGTTAAACATGTTTGTTTACACTGTAATAATCTACAATTTATCGATATCCTTAGGTTTGTAAGACATATCACACTGTAAAACGCAGTGAAAAATAGCATGTTTCATTGCACATAAACTGTGTGCCTCAGTCATTTTGAGTATTACTTAGATATGTGTCTTACTGAGTGAATTTGTTAGTATTCTGCAGTGGATTGCTCTTACAACAAAGAAAATACGTTTTTCGCCTTTTTCTTTCTGATGAAATCTAGGATATACATAAACTTCATGGTGACCTGAATCTTCCTTCCATCAGTCAAAAGTAGAATATTTCTGTTTAATGTAATGGGGAGAAGCAGTATCTATTTTGTTTCAGAGTACATTTTAGATAATTTATATTGCTATATAGAATGCTTTGTGTTAGCTGACTAGCTGACCAGTGGTAACAGTAGCAGCCAGAGCATAAAAATATCTTCAAATCAGTAATGTTATTTAACAGTGCTGCTTGTACAACAGGGTCTGTTGCCTGAACAGTGATTGGACCCTGTTCCTGTTAGTTTTGTTAATTTGAAAAATTTAGTCATGTGAAAAGGCCTTTTCAAGGCAAAGATGTTAGTTTACTAACCTGTTGAAACAAAATATTGCTGTTCAAAACTGCTTTGAAAACACTTCATCATTTATTTAAGTGTGTGCACATAGTGTTGCATGCATTCACTTGTTCTGCAATGTTTGTAGCTACTACTATCGTTTTATGGAATCAGACAGTCTAAGCAGAGGGAAGAAGCTTCTATCTTACTTAGTCCAAGTCCTGTCAAAGCTAGCTTGAACCCTGCAACAGTATTTTTACTGCCTTATCTTACCTTTTCTTGGTGAAGTTATGCCCCGTTTATGAGACCTTCCTATGAGCAAAAACTTCCTGATGTCAAGTCAAAATTCCTGTAATAGTTTAAGCCCATTATACCTAGACTTTTGAGCTTGCAATAAATAATTTTGCTTTCTTCTTGGAGTTCCCCCTTGGTTGTGTGCAGATTATAGCCATGTTCTTCTAAAGTCAGTGCTTCACTAATTGTGTATATTGATATATTTTTAGAGGATGATGCTTTTGTTTGGACTTCTCTACCCCTTCACCCAATGAAAGTTCTGTTCATGAAACAGCTGCAGTATTGAGTTTTTAACTCTACCTTTTAAGTCCTTCCTTCGGCACTAATTTTGATTGACCTTCTCTGAACTACCTTCAGGTTGTTGTTACCCTTCTGGTAATGAGGTACCTAGAGCTAGATGCATTATTTAAGGTAGAAACACGTCAGCCATTATGTATGTGCATCTGTGTGTGTGTGCAACGTAAATAGGGCACACTTAAAAAACTTCTACGCTCTTGTCCTTTTTTAGCTTTATTCTGATACAGCTTGTATCTTTAAGTCATGTGTTTGAGTCATTCAGTGTCATATAAAAATTACAAGTCCTAAAAACTTTAGTTTTTCGAAGACAAGCCATGTCCAATGCAGCAATGTGCCTAGTCCACTGTGTTTCTTTTACAAAAAAATGAATAGTAGCAATGTTAGTCCTGTGTAATTCTGTTAAATCCAAGGAATGTGCACCTTACTGGATTTGGCTCAGTATCATCATTTGCACTTCTAATAGGTTAGCATGGAATGAATAATATAGCTTGCTTCTCTTCTATGATGTGAATTCTGCACATAGTTATGTATGAACAGCTCTTGTTAAATTTTAGAAAAAGATGTATTTGTCAAAGGGTAAAACAGACTGGAGAGGTGAAGTGAGTGAAACCTTTTGTGATGCTCATGAAAAAAGGTCTTCATTGCTAAGAAGAGCTCAAGCTTTCATAAAATCAGAGAAGAGGATGTTGTTTGTTAAAATCTTTTTGCATGTTCAAAATTGTCTACACAACTTAGATATGTACAACTTTTTTGGATGCTGGCAGTTAAGGCAAAAATGCTGCAGATTCTTCTTTGCACACATTTTGTATGGACTATGTTAGAAACATGTCTATTTTCCTTTGCTTAGCATGAAGCCCAGATCTTAAAGATGATAATGAAGGGTAGGATGCTGGATGTAGATGCAATTAAATACTTGTTTGTGAATATCAAGGGTTATAATTTTACGTTCTGTTTCTGAGTAGTAGATGAGATGGATTGTTCAGTTTAGAAGATGTTTGTTGGGACCTGACTCTGTAGTCCAAAATTCTTACTGTGTTAAGGGATTGATACAGGATTTCTGAACTGGGACCTTAAACATGATCCTTCTTTGGGATCCTCCTTTATGAGATGGGGAGAGGAAGGAAGGGAGGAGCAGCATGCAGGAGTTGGTGTATTTTGTTTTCTTATTAAAAGGAACATTGTTGGTTTGAAATTTTTCACTTTCATCTGAACTTTCTTACTGTTGCTGCAAGTTACTGTTATTACAAGATTTGATAAAAATGGAAGAGAGCCTTTTTTCTTTCATTGAGTCCTTCTACACTGTGCTGTTGTTTGTATATTATAAATTTTGCTCTTATTGTTGCAAGTACCAATAACAAACGAAGGAGGGAAAATTCCTGAGACTATTCAGGATGATATACTATGATTGTAAACAGAAGAATAAATAGAAAATTAGACATGTAAGCAGCATCTGAAAAGTCTTTTCCCTTAATTTGACCAACCATCCTTTTTGATGATGAATCAGATGCCTATTCTTTAAATTCCCAGTATTTCAGCCACAGTTGAACTACTTTTTCTAAGATGAAGTTTGGCATGGCATGATACACTGAATGCTGACTTTCTAGTATTGTGACACATGATCCTGTGCTTTTGCAAGGATGCATTCATTCATCTAGCACACCTTTTCCATTTCTGCGTTATTAGGAGCCTGTAAAAAGCTATTTAATTGCTCAGGATAACTGGAAGTTCTGGGCAAGCAAGTGGGATCAATATTACATTGCTCCTTATTGTTAAACATGACATAGCAATGCCCCTTTGAAGTACAGAAGTCTCCATGCAGAGTATGCTGTTACAAACTTGTCATCTTTGACTTCTGCTAGGGACCAGGCAAGCCCAGTCCTAATCAAAACAAAAGTGGCTAGCAGGATTTAGAGAGGGAAGCTGAGGAAGGAAGCGAAAGGG